TTACAATTTTTTTTCTTCTTTGGTTTTATCACAGTCATTTGTTTATGAACAGATCTTGTTGAACTGCTTTAGTTTCCTAAAGAAATAAAGGTCTTCAAGGCTGGGCATAGTGGCTCACGTCTATAATCCCAGCACTTTGGGAGCCTGAGGTGGGCGGATCACCTGAGTTCAAGACCAGCCTGGTCAACATGGTGAAACCCTTCTCTACTAAAAAACACAAAAATTAGCCTGGTGGTACACACCTGTGATCCCAGCTACTTGGGAGGCTGAGACATGAAAATCCCTTGAATCTGGGAGGCAGTGGTTGCCATGAACCCAGATGGCACCACTACACTCCAGCCTGGGCAACAGAGTGAGACTCCATCTCAAAAAAAAAAAAAAAAAAGACAGAGAGAGAGATAAAGGTCTTCGAAAGGAGGAATAAGAAGGAATCTGTCTCTTTCTAGAAAGCTATACTATACATTAAATACAAGCTTGCTTTTACCTGTGCAGATCTTAGATCTTATCACCTGTTAATTGGGCCCAGTGAACTGCCATAAAACCCTGAAGTCATTTGGTATTTGCTTTTGGGCCACATTGAGCAGCTGCACATTTACCCACTTCCTGCGTCTTGCGAGAGTGCCTATTAGGGCACGGTATTCCCAAACACAACCTGTTAAACTGGTTATAGGCAAAAGTGGAGAGGAAAGGCAGCACAGAAACATTCTGGGTAGCAGAATGCTTATCCCCAAGGTAGATAAACCATCAACTGACCATCCTTCTCCTATGACACATTTAATACCATAAGTTGTTGGGATAATTACTCTTTGGAGGGCATTATTATACTTTGCTTTTGAAATAGCCAGCTATGTAGATAAGGACAGTGGGAAGGCTGCATAATTAGCCCCCATGTTTTAACACGTTCTGCTGGCCTGCTGTTGCTTCCACAAAGCCCCTCCAGAATGTTTGCAATCACCTGTTCACTTCATGGTAACTGGATACAGACACAACATGGGGTCAGCTTCTAAGGCCTTTTGACCTGGATCCAGAGCTCAGCAGGCTGCCCCAGCTGTCTACACTTTCAATAGATTGGTAGGCTGGGACCCAGACACGTTTTGACAGGACACCAGAACATGCAGCTGGGAGCCAGACACCCTGACATGGCACCAGAACATACAGCTAAGAGTAAAATGCCTGTGCATTGCTGGTGAATTTTTAAAAGAACCCAGCAGCATCCACACAGTGGGACAAGAGTAGTGGGAATAAAGAATGGACTGCGGCTCACACAGAATGCCCTCTTCAAAGGCCCCACTGAAAGAGCTCCTTTAGGAAGCACCCATGGAAGTAGAAACATCGTAAGGAATAGATATTGAATATCCTTCGTGTATTTCATTACTTACAGAATGGCACACCTAAAAATGAAAAGCTCTGAATTAAAAAAAATAAAAGGACAAATTTCTAAGCCATATCCCGTGGCCCACTTAGCGCAGTGAGTCTTACTAAAAGAATATTCCAGGCCAGGCACGGTGGCTCACACCTGTAATCCCAGCACTTTGGGAGGCCGAGGCGGGCAGATCACGAGATCAAGAGATCAACACCATCCTGGCTAACACAGTGAAACCCTGTCTCTACTAAAAATATAAAAAAATTAGCCGAGCGTGGTGGTGGTCACCTGTAGTCCCAGCTACTCTGGAGGCTGAGGCAGGAGAATGGCATGAACCCGGGAGGCGGAGCTTGCAATGAGCCAAGATCACGCCACTGCACTCCAGCCTGGGCGACAGAGCGAGACTCTGTTTCAAAAAAAAAAAAAGAATATTCCAGTAGGGCAGGACATGGTGGCTCACACCTGTAATCCCAGCACTTTGAGAGGCTGAGGCAGGAGAATAACTTGAGTCCAGGAGTTCAAGATCAGCCTGGACAACAACAAAAATAAGGTGGGGACAACCCCATCTCTAAAATGAAAAAGATTTTTTAAAAAACTCCAATGTAGGCCAGGCATGATGGCTCACGCCTATAATCCCCAGCACTTTGGGAGGCTGAGGCAGGCAGATCACTTGAGGTCAGGAGTTCAGAACCGGCCTGGCCAACATGGTGAAATCTTCTCTCTACTAAAAATACAAAAATTAGCCATTCGTAGTGACAGGCACCTGTAATCCCAGCTACTCGGGAGGCTGAGGCACGAGAATCACTTGAACCTGGGAGGTGGAGGTTGCAGTGAGCTGAGATCCCACCACTGCTCTCCAGCCTGAGCAACAGAGTGAGACTCAGTCTCAAAAAAAAAAAAATCCAAGCCAGCCTTAGGTCTTAGTCCCTTCAGCAGCCAAATTTTACCCTAAGCCAAATAAGAGATTGACCCAAAGACTTCCGCAACTCTAAAAATGTACAGAGCAGTTTTTCAGAGCCTATGAAATCTGAACCATGAACTTGGTTGTCACCAGTGTTTTATGTTATTTACCACCATGTTGAGTAAATGCCATGTGTCATACATTTAATCCTTAGAACAGGCCACAAGGTAGATAGTAGATGCCCATTTTACGGCATCTGAGAAGACTAAGTGACCAACTCGGGACAAATAGCAAGTGAGTAAAGAGGCACAATTACAAAGTAGGTAGAGGTTTTCAAGCCATGTATTTATTTCGTTTTTACCTTTTCCCCTGTAGTCCACAAATGCCACATTGGTAAAGCAGGAGAATAGATACACATCAGTAAGTGCTCATCAACCAACCACTGCAACACCAGAGACAGTCCAAATCCTAGAAAGTTAAAAAATCATCCTGGCTGGGCACGGGCTCATGCCTGTAATCCCAGCACTCTGGGAGGCTGAGGCGGGTGGATCACCTGAGGTCAAGAGTTCGAGACCAGCCTGGCCAACATGGTGAAACTCTCTCCTAAAAATACAAAAATTACCCAGGCCTGATGGCAGATGCCTGTAATCCCAACTACTCGGGAGACTGAGGCAGGAGAATTGCTTGAACCCGGGAGGTAGAGGTTGCAATGAAGCAAGATCGCACCATTGCACTCCAGCCTGGGTGACAAGAGTGAAACTCCTTCTCAAAAAAATTTAAAAATTCTTTTTTTGCATTACTAAAAAAGATAAAGAGCTTAACATAGTTTTTAAAAAACTAATTTACACAGATATCTGAGATTTACTGAAGCCCTTAAATCTTAGCATGTAAAATTTAATGAAATCAACTTTGCTTGTAATTCTGATTTTATCCAGTAAAATTACTTGTTTAATTTTGTCTTCAGTACAGTTGACCCATTACTTTCTTAAAAGATTTGAGTGAAGTTGCAAGTTTTGGGTTTTTTGTTGTTTTTTGTTTTTTGAGTCAGAGTTTCGCTCTTTTTGCCCAGGCTGAGTGCAATGGGGCTATCTCAGCTCACTGCAGCCTCCACCTCCCAGGTTCAAGTGATTCTCCAGCCTCAGCCTCCCAAGTAGCTGGGATTACAGGTGTGCGCCATCACACCCAGCTAATTTTTTTATTTTTAGTAGAGACAGGATTTCACCATGTTGGCCAGTCTGGTCTCGAACTCCTGATTTCAGGTGATCCTCCTGCCTTGGCCACCCAAAGTGCTGGGATTACAGGCATGAGCCACTGTGGCTGGCCAGTTGCAAGTTATTAATACTTAATTTTGATATTTTGCCCACAGTATATACCTGATTTCGAATACTTTTTTTTCTTTTTTTTTTGAGACAGTGCTCACTCTGTCACCCAGTCTGGAGTGCAGTGGCACTATCTCAGCTCACTCCAACCTCTGCAGGTTCAAGTGATCCTCCTGCTCAGCCTCCCAAGTAGCTGGGATCATAGTCATAAGCTACCACGGCCGGCTAATTTTTTGTAGAGGCAGAGTTTCACCATGTTGCCCAGGCTGGTCTCAAACTCCTGAGCTCAAGCAATCCTCTCACCTGAGATTCACAAAGTGCTGGGATTACAGACGTGAGCCACTGCACCCAGCGGGTTTTGAATATTCTTTATTGCACATTCATTTAGAAATTCCACCATTCTCATGGTTTAGAAAACCTGTCTGATTCCCAGCATCTCAGGACCTCCAAGCTGCACACGGACACAGGTCTCAGGAGCGCTGGTGCCTCCTAGCTCGGCTTCTGATTGAGTCGGTCAACAGCCAAGTGTCTGTAGGCTTTGGTTGCCCCCTGAAGTTTGACCTCGTTTAGAGGATTCTTGTGGCACTGACTTTTCAAGGGACTTAAACAGTTACCCCCTACAGATGGTGAAACCTCCTGTAAATCATTTTTTAGGTCTTTTCTTCCCTTACCAGTCCAAAATGTTTCTAGTAATATCGTGGCATTTTTAGATATGCAGCTTTAGAGTGAAAAAACCCCGAAGTTTCACTGGCTTTGTGCCATTTTGAGGAGCCATGCATGACTGAGTATATAATAAAAGTAGTCATTTAGAAACCTATTTAGATGATCAAAGATAAAGTGGAAGGTTTTGAATATGATATTACAAAATTTTAGAGATGCTACACTTGTACATATTTATATATAGATAACAGCTTTATTGAGATATCATTCACTTACCATATAATCCACCCATTTAAAGACTACACTTATTTTTGACAGATCACAGTGCTGATAGCTTAATAATGCAATGGGAACTCTGTATAATGGTGGTATTATAAGACTAACACCAGATTCAATTCTATCTGCCTTTTTTTGTATATTACATTTCCATGAATAAGAGGTGATATGACATCCAATTCAATTTATACTAAATAGTGAAATAAGGTTCTACTTGTATTAAAAGAAGTGTATCAGTACATTTCGACTAGTATGTTATTTAGATTATCCATAATTGTAGTTACTATTCAACCATTATTATTCAAACAACGTATCTTACATTTTTCCTCATTTAAAACACTACCTAGAAAAAAACTTTAATTGGTAGTTTTTAAAGTTCCTCTTTTAATATGCACACCAGACAGAAGTTAGAGTTTTTAATATGAATGTTATATGAACTGTGCTTTAGCCTGGATTAAACTGGAATGTTTCTTGTTTGTAGGGAGCCGCTGCAGATGACGGCCGATTAAAACGAGGGGATCAGATTTTAGCTGTTAATGGCGAGAGCCTGGAAGGTGTTACTCACGAGCAAGCGGTCGCCATTCTCAAACACCAGAGAGGGACTGTAACCTTAACTGTGCTGTCGTGAGCCTCGGGCCTGGTCACAAGATAGATGTTGTTGTTTAGAATATCCACAGGCAGATGAAGTTCTGAGTGGGTATGAAAAGCACCCTCAACTAAAATGCACCTTCATTCTTATTTCTTGTCCTCTCTGCTCAGGAGAAATGGCTGAGGTTTCATGTGAATTTCCCAAATCAATAATCATCTCCTAATGTTTCCCAGTTCCTGTCACCTGTTGGTGAGGTTGATTTCTAAAACTGAAATGAGTCTGTTTTGCATTTAATTTCAGTGTTCTGATTCCTTTTTTTTTTTTTTTTTGAGACTGAGTCTCTGTCGCCCAGACTGGAGTGCAGTGGCGCCATCTTGGCTCACTGCAACCTCTGCCTCCCAGGTTGGAGCAATTCTCCTGCCTCAGCCTCCCGAGTAGCTGAGATTACAAGCATGCATCACCATGCAGGGCTTATTTTTGTATTTTTAGTAGAGACAGAGTTTCCCCATATGGGCCAGGCTGGTCTTGAACTCCTGACCTCAGGTGATCTGCCTGCCTTGGCCTCCCAAAGTGCTGGGATTCCAGGTGTGAGCCACCGCGCCCAGCCCAATATTCTGATTTTAACCAATTGGTTCTGATTATATTTGCCAAACCTGGAGTTAACCTCTCTTTCCTTATGCTCTTCTCTCCCTATCCCCTACTCATACCGAGGCTTAACAGCAACCTCAGATCTCACCCAATGGACAGAAACAAATGTTAAGCAACTTATCATCTCACTCATGATTTACTTATGCTAATTGTCTCTTCAAGCAAGCAAGAAAACATCAGCAGTGTAATTAATTTACCAGTGATCCCCGAGATGAAATACCAGATTCTCCTATGGGAAATTACTGTGCACTCTTCTGTATGACTTATGGTCAAATAAGTCTCAAATTCATTTCTCTGGATAGATCTTTATATGCTAGTCATTGGTGATTTTGATGAGTCAATTTACAGACTGTAATCTTCTAAAAATTCTGAAAGACTAATTGTTTTCTGCGCCATCTAAATGCATACCACTGAGCAACTGAACCTTATTCTCAACAGGAACAACTAGCATACATGTTCTGAATTCTAACAATGCTAAATTACATTCAAATCCAGGAAGATCACCTGGAATTAATGGCATTTCGGTAGGCAGGCATCATTCCCACCCCTCGGTCTTAGGAAAAGGAGGTAGAAGCCCCAGAACCACACTGCAGAGATAAGCAAGTTTTGTCTCAAGTCAAACAAGGTCTGGGTGGCCTTGGCCTTGTACAAAGTAGGGAGACATATTTGATTATCTTTCCCTTCACCTCCATAGCAGTCAGTCCAGCAGCACAGACTGCAGGAACCTAAATGGAGCAACATACTTAGCTGCAAAGTGAGCAAATGAATTGAGCCTAGGAATCTGTGATGAAAATGCATGGCTGAAGTTTCCTGATCTCCAAGGAGACTCCCATTTGCTGAAGTTTTGCATGCTAAGAAAGCAGCTACAGCAGAAAATACAAGAATACTTTTAAGTCGATTATTGGCAATCTTACTCATATATTAGCAAGAAAAAGGGAGAGATGCTTACTGGTGGATGCTATAGAGTCCTCTGTTTTTAAAAGTACCATGGCCAGGTACAGTGACTCACGCCTGTAATCCCAGCACTTTGGGAAGCCAAGGCAGGTGGATCATGAGGTCAGGAGTTTGAGACCAGCCAGGCCAACATGGTGAAACCCTGTCTGTACTAAAAATACAAAAATTAGCCGGGTGTAGTGGCAGGCGCCTGTAATCCCAACTACTCAGGAGGTTGAGGCGGGAAAATTGCTTGAACCTGGGAGGTGGAGGTTGCAGTGAGCCAAGTTCGTGCCACTGCACTCCAGCCTGGGTAACAGAGCAAGACTCTGTCTCAAAAAAAAAAAAAAAAAAAAGCCTGTAACCAAGGAGCAAGACAATCAGAATCTCAATAAACCATAAAAAAAAAAAAAAAAAAAAAAAAAAAAACCATGAAGGATGAGTACTAGAGTCAGTAATAGAAGTAGTTTAGCATTATTTAACTACAACACAATGCTGCAAATATTTCACAGTAATTGTCAAAGTTTAACGGGCTCTAATTTAAAATGTTATTTAATAAGTATAGATTTTAATTGAGAATTATCTTTGAGTAGATGTAATCACAAAGTGCATTAACTCTTATTGGAATATTTTATGGCTATTCCAAAGTATAGAGTGCCTAAATTTTGTGTTGAAAATGTCTTTCATGACGATATTAAGTTTTCTGAAATTACACATGGCTTTTAAAATTTCTAACGTATCCAAGATGTGCAATGTTGTTAGGATCTCATTTTTCAATGCATGAAAAGCCACCAACCTCAGAACATTTTGTGTTAATTGTACCTGCAAGAACACCTCAGGCAAGCCACGAAGAAATGAAACCCAAATGAAACTTGAAAATGCACCTTAAAATATATATATACATATAATAGTTTTGAAATGGGATTCTGCTTTATTTTGATGGAATGGCCATTAAATACACATTTTGAGATAATACATTGTTGTTGTGTTTCTTTATACATTATCCTTTTAGGTCATGCCAGTAAAAGTATATTGATGAAGGATTTATGATGCTTTATACTTCTTACTGCACTAAATTGATAGAACTAGTACTTGTCATAATCGGTTCTGTCTCTGCTTGCATGACTAATAAGTAATTGCCTTTCCAAAAAGATATTTTTGCCTCAGAACTTACTGACAAGCTGAGAGGCTATGAAAATGGCAATTTGTGAAAGAAGTAGTGCTCTTATATTTGGCCTCATCATTTGGGCCATTTAAGTATAGTAATGATATCACTAATGGAATTAGCATGAGAGGGAAGTAAGCCAGGAAGAATAAAAGTGCTGAATGTTTGTATGTATAAGATATTTCCAAAGATTCTAAATAAATGTAGTTGCCTACAGAGCAAATGGAGTTTTATTATATATGAAAAAGTGTACTTTCTGGATCTAATTGTGCTTTTTCTTCAGCATGTTTTTCCCTAATAGAAAAAAAAAAAAGTCCAACTTTTCACAAGGTATTTTGGTGTCCTATTAAAATCTGGAGTCCATGGCTGGGCATAGTGGCTCACGCCTGTAATCCCAACACTTTAGGAGGCCGAGGCAGATGGATCACCTGAGGTCAGGAGTTCAAGGCCAGCCTGGCCAACATGGCAAAACCCTGTCTCTACTAAAAATACAAAAATTAGGCCGGGCGCAGTGGCTCATGCCTGTAATCCCAGTACTTTGGGAGGCTGAGGCGGGTGGATCACGAGGTCAGGAGATCGAGACCATCCTGGCTAATACGGCAAAACCCCGTCTCTACTAAAAATACAAAAACAAAATTAGCCAGACGTAGTGGCGGGTGCCTGTAGTCCTAGCTACTCTGGAGGCTGAGGTGGGAGAATGGCGTGAACCCAGGAGGCAGAGCTTGCAGTGAGCCGAGATTGCACCACTGCACTCCAGCCTGGTCGACAGAGTGAGACTCAGTCTCAAAAAAAAAAAAAAATTAGCCGGGCATGATGGTGGGTGCCTGTAATTCCAGCTACTGGGAGGCTGAGGCACAAGAATCACTTGAAACCGAGAGGCAGAGGTTGCGATGAGCCAAGATCGTGCCATTGCACTCCAGCCTGGGTGACAGAGTGAGACTCTGTTTCAAAAAAAAAAGTCTGGAATCCATTAATAGCTGTCTCAGGTATTCATTGCCCAACTATGTTGCTGGGCACTAGAATAGATGCATTATAGGCCGAGCATGGTGACTCACACCTGTAATCCCAGCACTTTAGGAGGCAAGGCAGGCGGATCACCTGAGATCAGGTGTTCAAGACCAACCTGGCCAACATGGCGAAACCCCGACTCTACTAAAAATACAAAAATTGGCCAGGCGTGGTGGTGCACGCCTGTAGTCCCAGCTACTCAGAAGGCTGAGGCAGAATGGCTTGAACCTGAGAGGTGGAGTTTGCAATGAGCCAAGATTGTGCCGTTGCACTCCAGCCTGGGTGACAGAGGGAAACTCAGTCTTGCTGTGTTGCCCAGGCTGGCCTCGAACTCCTGGGCTCAACCAATCCTTCTACTTCAACATCCTGTATAATTGAGACTACAAGTGCACGCCACCTTGTCTGGCACAACTAAAATTTTTTGCACCCACTTTTCTTCTTAATTTTATATTTTATTTATATTTTTTCTATTAAAGTCCACCAGAACAGTGAGACTTTTTTTTAACACAAAAATTTAAATTTAGGTTATAGTCTCAGTTGTATGCCAGCCTAGTGCAAATGTTAAGTTTTTGACAGCTTGACTTTCAATCTTCAGATGCTCTGTATTTAAGTAAAGACCAAAAAAAGAAACATTTCACTCTCTGCACAATCCCAAAATAAACTGACATTTGGAAGAGTCATTTGTGTGTGTGTGTGACGGTGTATAAAAGACCTCGCCTGAGCAGTATATCCTTTTCCAGTCATGTGAAGGAGTAAGCAAGAAAGTTGCTTTGGTCTTCAGTCCCTGAGAGATTGCTGTCGGGTATCAGCACCCATGCTTGGCAAAATTATACAGGAGCAAACATATATTTGATCCTCCTTCTAGAATCAGTTTTTTTGAAATGGAGGCAACCTCAGAACTGGGAGTTTGTCCTGCCTGCTACACCACTCCTCCCATTTTACAAGTGGGAGAAGTGTGCCAGAGAAAGGAAGTGACTAGCCCCGTCCCCCACTAGCTTGCAGCCCTGAGTTTTCCATAAACCTTACTGGGAATTCACCAACTTAGCAAACTACTGTAGAGTACTCACACATGGCTGCTAAATTGGTTCGAAATACTCTCGAGAGCTTTTTTTTCTCTTTTGAGTCAGGGTCTCCCTCTGTCACCCAGGCTGGAGTGCAGTGATGCGATCACGGCTCACTGTGGCCTCAAACTCCCGGCTCCAGCAACCCTCCCACCTCAGCTCTCCAACTGGCTGGGACTACAGGTGTGCAACACCACGTGTGGCTAATTTCTTTTTTAACTTTTTGTAGACACGGGGCTGTCACTATGTTAAGACTATTTTTAAGGACAGTTTTGGCCAGGCACAGTGGCTCACACCTGTAATCCCAACACTTTGGAAGGCGGAGATGGGAGGATCACTTGGGCCCAGGAGCTTGAGACCAGCTTGGCTAACATGGTGAAATCCCATCTCTACAAAAAATACAAAAATTAGCCAGGCATGATGGTGTGTGCCTATAGTCCCAGCTAATCGGTCGGCTGAGGTGGGATGATTGCTTGAGCCTGGTAGGTTGAAGCTACAGTGAGCTTTCTTTGCACCACTGCACTCCAGCCTGGGTCACAAAGTAAGACCCTGTCTCCAAAAAAAATTTTAAAAGGCAGTTTTAAGTTAACAGCAAAACTGGGAGGAAGGTGCAGAGTTTTCCCACATACCTGCGCCCTCACTCACATAGCCTCTCCCATTATCAACATCCTCTACCAGACTGGTACATTTGCCACAATGAATGAACCTACATTCTCACCCAAACTCCATAGTACCTGAGGGTTGAATCTTGGTGGTGTACATCCTATGGGTTTGGACAAATGTATGACGTGCCTACCATAAAGGTATATAGAATATTTCCACTGCCCTAAAAGTCCTTTGTGTGCTCCCTATTCTTCTCCAACCCCCTTCCCAACCATGGAAACCAAGTTTGTTTTGTTTCTTAGTTTTTTGTTTGTTTTGAGATAGAGTCTCTCTCCGTCTCACAGGCTAGAGTGCAGTGGTGCAATCTCAGCTCACTGCAACCTCCGCCTCCCAGGTTCAAGCAATTCTCCTACCTTAGCCTCCTGAGTAGCTGGGATTACAGGCGTGTGCCACCACACCCAATTAATGTTTGTATTTCTAGTAGAGACGGAGTTTTGCCATGTTGGCCAGGCTGGTCATGAACTCCTGGCCTCACGTGATCCACCTGCCTCGGCCTCCCAAAGCACTGGGATTACAGGCGTGAGCCACCGCACCTGGCCCCTCTTCCATGTCTTTTCATGGCTTGATAGCTCATTTCTTTTCAGCACTGAGTTATATTCCATTGTTTGGATGTACCACAGTTTATCCATTTACCTACTAAAGAACATTTTGGTTGCTTTCAAGTTTTGGCAGTTAGGAATAAAGCCGCTATAAACATCTGTGTGCACAGCCTGAATTTGTAAGTTTATTTCAGTTCTCCCTAAACACAAGCACAAGATTTGGTGCCACAACACAAGCACAAGATTTTAAAAAGATTAAAGAGTAGAAGAAAACAAACAAATGAAAAAAGGACACATCTTTTGGATGTAGACAAAGAAGACCTAGTCTATCCACTCACCCTACATCCCCACATCCTGGGAAGAAGTTCCAAGGCCAGGCACTCCGGATACCCTCCCTCATGGTTTAAACATTCTTCTGCTCTAGATAGACACAGTTGATTACAGATGCGGTGTTTCAATGGCTCCTCCTGCCTAATGGCTTTACTGGGCATGTCCCCAGCATTACTCTCCCAGGAGAACAGAAGAAACGGTAATGTCTTAAAGGGAACCCATCATTCAACTCCTCTCAACCCCAGAGCCATGTGTTACTCTCCTGGGAACTTCAGGATAGCTGTCTGAAAACACTCCAGGGAGGCTAAAGTGGAGGATCACTTGAACCCAGGAGTTCAATACCAGCTAGGGCAACATAGGGAGACCTGGTCTCTACAAAAAGTAAATGAGGCTGGGCTCACTAGCTCACACCTGTAATCCCAATACTTTGGGAGACTGAGGTGGGCGGATTGCTTGAGCGCAGGAGTTTGAGACCAGCTTGGGCAACATGGCAAGACCCCGCCTCTACAAAAAACACAAAAATTAGTCGGGCGTGGTGGCACACACCTGTAGTCCCAGCTACTCCGGAGGCTAAGCTGGTAGAATCACCTCAGCCCAGGGATATTGAGGCTGCAGTGAGCCTTGGGTGACAGAGTAAGGCCCTCATCTCAAAAATAATAAATTAATTAAAAAATCAGCCTGGCACAGTGGCATGCACCAGCAGCCCCACCTACTTCGGAGGCTGAAGTGAGAGGATCGCTTGAGCCTGGAAGTCAAGGCTGCAGTAAGCTATGATCACACACTGCACTCAAGCCTGGGCAACAGAGAGAGAACCTGATCCTCCTCCCCCACTCCCCCCAAAAAGAAAAACATACTCGGGCCGGGCGCGGTGGCTCAAGCCTGTAATCCCAGCACTTTGGGAGGCCGAGACGGGTGGATCACAAGGTCAGGAGATCGAGACCATCCTGGCTAACCCGGTGAAACCCCGTCTCTACTAAAAAATACAAAAAACTAGCCGGGCGAGGTGGCGGGCGCCTGTAGTCCCAGCTACTCGGGAGGCTGAGGCAGGAGAATGGCGTGAACCCGGGAGGCGGAGCTTGCAGTGAGCTGAGATCCGGCCACTGCACTCCAGCCTGGGTGACAGAGCGAGACCCCGTCTCAAAAAAAAAAAAAAAAAAAAAAAAAAGAAAGAAAAACATACTCCAGTGGCCCCCATGCCATGAAGAATAGGATTCACCTGTTCTTAAAGATTGAGAGCAGAAACTTCCTGTCCAACATCGTATTAGTCAGCGTTCTCCAGAGAAACTGAACCGAGAGGATGTGTATGTATTTAGAAAGATTTATCATAAGGAATTGGCTTTTGCAGTTATGGAGGTGGGCAAGTCCAAAATCTGCACTGTGGGCCAGCAGGCTCAAGACCCAGAAGATGATCTTCTGGGAAGAATGTTTCACAGCTGGGCGTGGTGACACGTGCCCGAAGTCCCAGCTACTCCAGAGGCTGAGGGTGGGAGGATCACTTGAGCCCAGGAGGCAAAGGCTGCAGTGATCTGAGATGGCGCCACTGTACTCCAGCCTGGGAGAAAGATCCAGACCCTATCTCAACAACAAACAAAACAAACAAAAAAAGAAAGAAATGTTGATCTCATCCAAAAACACCCTCCCAATTCACAAATCAAGCATCAGACATCATGAGACCTTGAACAGACCCCTCGAGGAATGGCCTTGCCTTAAGGAAAGTGCGGAAGTGTCCACTATCCTTGTTCTCAACACCTTTCCAGCCCCCCGCCCCCTCTGGTGTTCACAGCTGTGGTGCAGTCACCATCATCACTTCTACCATCCCAGAACCCTCAGGAGCAGATGGCTTGAGATCTTGCCTCTGCCACCCCACCACCCAAGGACCCTAAGTATTTGTACACCTAATTAGGTGGCTTCTCAGTGGACTCAGGGTCAAGTCCAACTCAGCATGGATGTTAGGCTCTTCATAATTTAGCTTCCATCTTAACCTCCAGCAGTCATATTAACTTTGGTTAACCCTGGCTTATCCCAGGATAAGCCGGACTCACACCCTTAGGCTTTTGCACACACTATCCATTGGCATAGACAGCACTGCTGCTCACGATGTGACTGCAGACCACCATCATCAGCACCACCTAGGCGAGGTGCAAATGTATGCTCCAGCCTAGACCAGCTGCATCAGAATCTCCGGGATAGGGCCAAGAAATCTGAGTTTTAACAAGCTCTTCTGGTGATACTAAACACTAAAGTTTGAAAGCCCAAACACTCCCCTTTTTCCAGTCTGTGGTCATTCACAATTGCTGAGTTCTTTTCTGCCTCCAGCGGCTAGAGGCAGAAAGAAACACCAGCCTCCTCCCTTGCCACTGGAGGTATTTTACCTGTTAGAACAAGTCTCAGACTGAGTCTGCACCTGTATGAACTTTTTTTTCTTGAGACAGGGTCTCACTCTATTGCTTGGGCTGCAGTGCAGTGGTGTGATCATGGCTCACCACAGCCTTGACCTCCCAGGTGATCACCTCCTTAGGTGATCCTCCCACCTCAGCCTCCCGAGTAGCTGGGACTACAAGTATATGCCACCACAACCACCTAATTTTTTTTTTTGAGATGGAGCCTTGCATTGCAAGCTCCGCCTCCTGGGTTCACGCCATTCTCCTGCCTCAGCCTCCCGAGTAGCTGGGACTACAGGTGCCCGCCACCACACCTGGCTAACTTTTTCTATTTTTTAGTAGAGACGGGGTTTCACCGTGTTAGCCAGGATGGTGTCAATCTCCTGACATCGTGATCCGCCCACCTCAGCCTCCCAAAGTGCTGGGATTACAGGCGTGAGCCACCATGCCCAGCCCTGTTTTTTTTTTTTTTTTTTTTGGCTTTTGGGTTTTTTTTAATTAAAACAGGGTTTCACTCTGCCACCCAGGCTAGGGTGCAGTGGTGAGACTAGGATCCATTGCACCCTCGACCTCCTTGGCTCAAGTAACACTCCTGCCTCAGCCTCCTGAGTAGCTAGGACTACAGGTGCACACCACCACACTGGGCTTCTTAAAATTCTTTGTAGAGTCGAGGTTGTACTATGTTGCTCAGGCTGGTCTCAAACTCCTGGCCTCAAGCGATCCTCCCACCTCAACCTCCCAAAGTGCCAGGATTACAGATATGAGCCACCACACCCAGGTGTATGAACACTTGTTAGCAAACAGGTGCAACACACAGCCCCACCTGTCCAAAAAGCACAAACCTGGCAAGGTGCAGTGGCTCACGCCTGTAATCCCAGCACTTTGGGGCCGAGGCGGTTGGATCACCTGAGGTCAGAAGTTTGAGACCCGCCAGGCCAACATGGTGAAATCTCGTCTGTACTAAAAATACAAAGATTAGGCGGGCGTGGTGGCGTCTGTAAATCCCAGCTATTTGGGAGGCTGAGGCAGGAGAATCACTTGAACCTGGGAGGCAGAGGTTCCAGTGAGCTGAGATCGTACCACTGCACTCCAGCCTAGACGACAGAGTGAGACTTGGTCTCATAAAAAAAAAAAAAAAAAAAAAAAAAAAAAAAAAGCACAAACCTGGTGCTCTTTTTAGGATAGTGGTTCTTAACCCGGGCTATTCATTCAAATCGCCTGGGGATATTTTAAAGGCTCAATGCCCAAGCTACACCCCAGAGTAGGGGGAGGAAGGGAGAAATCTAAGAACTGGTATTTTTTTTAAAGCTCCTCAAGGAGTTATAGGAAGTTTCCAGGCAATTGCAACAACATTCAGACTTACTTTTTTTTTTTTTTTGAGACAGAGTGTTTTGCTTTTGTTGCCCAGGCTGGAGTGCAATGGTATGATCTCTGCTCACTGCAACCTCCACCTCCTGGGTTCAAGCGATTCGCCTGCCTCAGCCTCCTCAGTAAACCCCAAGCTGGGATTACAGGCAGGCACCAACATGCCCGGCTAATTTGGTATTTTTAGTAGAGATAGGGTTTCTCCATGTAGGTCAGGCTGGTCTCGAACTCCCGACCTCAGGTGATCCGCCTGCTTCAGCCTCCCAAAGTGCTGGGATTACAGATGTGAGTCACTGCACCCAGCCCAGTATTCAGACTTTCTATCCCATCAGATAACCAACTAACTCTTCTGGAAGAGATGAGACAGACAGGGAATGCAGAGTGAGAATTCCAGACTATAGAGCTACCTGGAAGGTATTGGTCTTTAGACCCTCAGTTGCTGTTTAATCATCTTCATAGGCCAGAAATGAAGTCAGTCCAGGCTTGGGCCACATCCACCCAAACTCACTCTCTTCTTTCCAGCTTTCCACTGTGGCATTGCAGCTGATTGTCTCTGGAAACATCCAGGCCAATGGGGAAAAAAAACATGTTCATTTAGCTGAGTCCTCAGTAGGAATCAGACAGGAGGGCAGAGAAGGCAGAAAAGGCCTGGCTGTAGTGCAAGCTTTCCTGACCTCCAGTGCGGCCAGAGCCTCAGAAGGTCAGTTTCAACCCCAGCAAGGTTGTTAACCAACTACAGGAAGGTGGACATGATCCTCATACCTGTTGGTGCTTTGTCTCTGACTGACCAGGTTCCATTGCCTTCCAATCCCAGCTTTCCCATTGGCCAGTTAGATTCATTTGCCTGGCCTGGACATTGAGCAACAAGATACAGATGTGAGGGTTTCAGGGCTTGGCCATGGATTTCAGTCCTCGGGTGCCCCCACCTCTGTCCTTATCCTGATTCTTTCCAAGGTCTGCACTCTGAAGGAGTCTTGTTGCTAGAACTTATTGAGTACTTTAAGTAAGATTACTATTATAGGACACAGTTGGAAAATGCTAGCAGAGGCCGGGCACGGTGGCTCACACCTGTAATCCCAGCACCTTGGGAGGCCAAGGTGGGCAGATGACCAGGTCAGGAGATCAAGACCATTCTGGCTAACATGGTGAAACCCCACCTCTACTAAAAAATAGAAAAAATTAGCTGGGTGTGGTGGCAGGCGCCTGTAGTCCCAGTTACTCAGAGAGGCTGAGGCAGGAGAGTGGCATGAACCTGGGAGGCAGAGCTTGCAGTGAGCCGAGATTGAGCCACTGCACTCCAGCCTGGGCAACAGAGCGAGACTCCGTCTCAAAAAAAAAAAAAAGAAAGAAAACGCTAGCAGATTTAGTGTTTGTTTTTTTTTTTTTTTCTTTGAGATGGATTTTCCCTCTTGTTGCCCAGGCTAGAGTGTGATGGTACGATCTCGGATCAGTGCAACCTCCACTTCCTACTTTCAAATGATTTTCCTGCTTCGGCCTCTTGAGTACCTAGGATTACAGGCAACCACCACTATGCCTGGCTAAATTTTTTTGTATTTTTAGTAGAAACGGGGTTTCACCATGTTGGTCAGGCTGGTCTTGAACTCCTGACCTCAGGTGATCCACCCACCTCGGCCTCCTAAAGTGCTGGGATTACAGGCGTAGGCCACCACGCCCGGCCCTAATAGTCATTAAAATTGATTTGTTGGCCAGGCGTGGTGGCTCACGCCAGTAATCCCAGCACCTTGGGAGGCCAAGACGGGCAGATTACTTAAGGTCGGGAGTTCGAGACCGGCCTAACCAACATGGAGAAACCCGCCTCTACTAAAAATACAAAATTAGCCGGGCATGGTGGTGCGTGCCTGTAATCCCAGCCACTGGGGAGGCTGAGGCAGGCAGGAGAATCACTTCAAGTCAGGAGGCAGAGGTTGCGGTGAGCTGAGATCGTGCCATTGCACTCCAGCCTGGGCAACAAGAGCGAAACTCTATCTCAAAAAAAAAAAAATTTGATTTGTTAAAAAAAAAAAAAAAGAAAGAAAAGTCAGGTGTGGTGGCTCACACCTGTAATTCCAGCACTTTGGGAGGCCTAGGCAGGTGGATCACCTGAGGTTAGGAGTTCAAGACCAGCCTGGTCAACATGGTGAAACCCCGTCTCTATTAAAAATACAAAAATTAGCCAGGCGTGGTGGTGCATACCTGTAATCTCATCTACTCAGGAGGCTGAGGCAAAAGAATCACTTGAACCTGGGAGGCAGAGGTTGCAGTGAGCCAAGATCGTGCCATTGTACTCCAGCCTGAGCAACAAGAGTGAAACTCCATCTCACAAAAGAAAAAAAATTGATTTGTTAAAAAAAAAAAAAGGTCAGGTGTGGTGGCTCACACCTGTAATCCCAGCACTTTGGGAGGCCTAGGCAGGTGAATCACCTGAGGTTAGGAGTTCGAGACCAGCCTGGCCAACATGGTGAAACCCCGTCTCTATTAAAAATACAAAAGTTAGCCAGGCGTGGTAGCACACGCCTGTAATCCCATCTACTCAGGAGGCTGAGGCAGAAGAATTGCTTGAACCTGGGAGGCAGAGGTTGCAGTGAGCTGAGTTCATGCCATTGCACTCCAGCAGCCTGGGCGACAGAGCAAGACTCCGTCTAAAAAAAAAAAAAAAAAAAAAAAAAAAACAAAACAAAAAAAAAAAACCACTTACTGGTTAGGAACAGTGGCTCACACCTGTAATCCCAGCACTCTGGGGGCTGAGGCGGGAGGACCGAATGAGCCCAGGAGTTTGAGGCTGTAGTGTGCTGTGATCACCTGTGAAAAGCCACTGTACCCCAGCCTCAGCAGCATAGTGAAACTGTCTCTTAAAAAAAGAAAATGGCATGAGGCCGGGCGAGGTGTCTCATGCCTGTAAATCCCCAGCACTTTGGGAGGCCGAAGTGGGCGGATCACTTGAGATCAGGAGTTCGAGACCACCCTGACCAACATGGACTAACCCCGTCTCTACTAAAAATACAAATTCAGCTGGGTGTGGTGGCGCTTGCCTGTAATCTCAGCTACTCGGGAGGCTGAGGCAGGAGAATGGCTTGAACCCGGGAGGTGGAGGTTGCAGTGTGCTGAGATGGAGCCACTGCACTCCAGCCTAGGCAACAAGAGTGAAACTCCATCTCAAAAAAAAAAAAAAAAGACATGAGATGAGGGCTGGGTGCAGTTGCTCATGCCTGTAATCCCAGCACTTTGGGCTTTCAAAAGGGTGGATCGTTTGACATCAGGTGTTCTAGACCAGCCTGGCCAACATGGTGAAATCCTGTCTCTACTAAAAATACAAAAATTACCCACATTGTGGTGGGCGCCTGTAATCTCAGCTACTAGGGAGGCTGAGGCAGGAGAATCGCTTGAACCCAGGAGGCGGAGGTTGCAGTGAGCCAAGATCCTGCCACTGGACTCCATCTCAAAAAAAAAAAAAAATGACATGAGAGGTACAAGAGGGGTCAGGAAAACCACCTGCAGAGGCTGCAGAGCAGTAAGAGCCAGGTGGTCAGGTGAAAGAGCGATGAGGAGGAGTATGGCATGATGGCCAGGGAGAGCAGCAACATTTCAAACTGAGATGCCAGAACAGTGAGTTCCAAAAACTCCTGAGTCAAGTATGACTGGAACATAAGATGTGAGAAGTGGAAAGACAGGCAACCAGGCAGACAGGCAGGGTCCCTCTCAGGAAGGGCCCTCTAAGCCACTTGAAGGAGTGTGGAATTTATCCTTTCAGCATTATGCAGTCACTGATTTTCTTTTTTTTTTTTTTTTTGAGACAGGGTCTCGCTTTGTCGCCCAGGCCATAGTGCAGTGGTACGATCACACCTCACTGCAGCTTTGACCTCCTGAGCTCAAGTCGTCCTCCCATTTCAGTGTCCCGAGTAGCTGGGACTACAAGCATGGCACTATGCCCAACTAATTTTTTATTTATTGTACAGATGGGGTCTCACTATGTTACCCAGGCTGGTCTCAAACTACTGGCCTCAAGTGATCCTTCTGCCTTGGGCTCTCAAAGTGCTGGGATTACGGGCATGAGCCACCCCACCTGGAAAACTGAGCTGTTTTAATCTGGAGAGTTTTGTGATCAGATTTTCCCTTCAATGAAATGAAGGTTTGGCCTTCGCTGCATCTTTACTGTTTCTCAGAGTGTGGCCCATGAACAGTTTACATCAGAACCCTAGATCGCTGCAGGTACACATGTACAAATCAGAGTCTGTATTTCAACCTAGTTTCTTCCCTGATTCGTCATTGAACACACACAGGCATACATACCCTAAAGAACCTCCAATTTAGCAGCTAGAAAAGCAGAGGAAAACCTCTAACACTAAAGAACAATGACTCTTCAGAAAGCTACTCACATCTTAGCCAGAAGATGGCGCAGGTTTTCCATTTACCTGGTTCCTGCCAGACTAGAAAGACGGAAATCTTGTTTGAAAGAAATTGCTTGATCTCATTACTTAAGTCAGAAGAGGGCTCTCCAGAAATCATGATGGCACGTGAGAAATGAGAAAGATTCATAACAGGTGGGAATAGGTATCCCATCTCCATAGATGCCACCCTTCTCTCCAGAGAGCACAGCAGATTAGGACCTGTCCACAAGGCTGGAAGAGTACTACACTCCCAAAAAGAAAGCTTAAAGCGTCAGGTGCGGGGGTTCATGCCTGTAATCCCAGCACTTTGGGAGGCAGAGGCGGGCGGATCACGAGGTCAGGAGTTCAAGACCAGCCTGGCCAACATGGTGAAAGCCCTGTCTCTACTAAAAGTACAAAAATTAGCCGGGCATGGTGGCAGGCGCCTGTAATCCCAGCTACTCAGGAGACTGAGGCAGGAGTGAAACTGGGAGGCGGAGGTTGCAGTGAGCTGAGATCGTGCCACCACACTCCAGCCTGGGTGACTCCAACTCAAAAAAAAAAAAAAGTGTTCATCAATCCCTCCGCCACCTTTTTAAAAAAAACAAACAAACATTGGCTGCAGAGTCGGGGCCAGCCATTATAAGAGGGTAGGTCTTAATTTAGGAACAACAGCAACTGGCCTCCATCCCCAGGTACAAGTGAGAAAAGACTCTAGTCGCAGCCCGGCGCGGTGGCTCACTCTGCTAATCCCAGCACTTCGGCAGGCCAAGGCGGGCGGATCACGCGGTCAGAAAATAGAGACCATCCTGGCTAACAGGGTGAAACCCCGTTTCTACTAAAAATACAAAAAACTAGCTGGGCGAGGTGGCGGGCGCCTGTAGTCCCAGCTACTCGGGAGGCGGAGGTGGGAGAATTGCTTGAATCCAGTAGGCAGAGGTTGCAGTGAGCCGAGATCGTGCCACTGCACTCCAGCCTGGGTGACAGAGCGAGACTCCATTAAAAAAAAAATAAAGTCTAGTCCCAGGGCTAGTGGAGGGGGATGCACCAGGTTCCCTAGACTGTTGAACCCACCTTGCTGATTCTCTTCCTTTGCTCCTAGTTTGAGTCCTGGCATCAGCGAGGGCTAGATGCAGACACCAGTATGTTGGAACCTCCACTGAGAAAAAATTAGTTTTGTGTAAACCAAAATGAAATTCTAAGCCCCCAACCAACTGAATGGAGACCCCCACCCCCATTCTAAAGTAAGCCTGAAAAACTAGTTCAGGCCATCATGGGAAGAGGGGATCAGACACACCTCATTATACCCTTCTCCTTTGGGAGGGAATTCAGGCACAACTGACCAGCATTAACATTAAAATGGAGATTTTAGGCATGGTGCTGCGCTCCCGCCTGTAATCTCAGCACTTTGGGAGGATCGCTTGAGCCCAGGAGTTCAAGACCAGCCTGGGCAACAAAGCAAGACCTCCTCTCAAAACAAAGAAAAAAAAAAAAGAAAAAGTCGGAAGCAGTGGCTCATGCCTGTAATCCTAGCACTTTGGGAGGAGGTGGATTACAAGGTCAGGAGTTCAAGAACAGCCTGACCAACATGGTGAAACTCTGTCTCTACGAAAAATACAAAAAATAGCCCGGCGTGGTGGCACGCCCCTGTAATCCCAGCTACTCAGGAGGCTGAGGCAGGAGAATCAC